CGCAATCTTTCATAACATGATCAGAAATGCTATAAGTACATAACATTGTACATATGAGTGTACATAACACTCTATGATCAGACGCAATCTTTCATAACACTCAAATTTAGTGGGATCTACCAAAAATTAAAAAATTAAGTGGACCATCTTCCATGTGAGTGTTATGTACACCTCTATCTACATTGTTCATACTTTCCGGACTGATTCGGCTGAACTGGAAGTCTCACGAACCGTCCCGACTGGTTCGACTGAACTGGAAATCTCATGGATCGTTCGGACTGGTTCAACTGAACTGGAATCACAAACCGTCCGAACTGGTTCGACTGAACTAGACCGGCGACTCGATCTGAACCGACCGACGACTCGTTTTCCCACTATATTTTGAGTATCACGAGTGAGAGTAGTACGTAGAACCCGAGATGCATCCGGGTTTAATTTCATTTTAGAAAATTTTTCATATAAGTCAGAATCACCGAACTTAAAAGGAAGAGATAAAGCCTAAATGAAATTAACTAGATTATACTTATGTTTTTTCATGAGTATGAAATAACTTGTAGCATTTTTCATAATCTATATAAACTACAAGTGAAACCAACAAATTCATAATACTAAAGATAAAAGTAATCTATATGTAAATTGGGCTTATGTATATAAATTCATCTTGAATTGGGATGTAGAATGAAGAAAAAGATCCGTTGAGAACAATTGGTTTTATGGAGTGCCCAAAAAAAAATAAAAAAATAAAAGTAATAGTACTTTTTTTTATTTGTAGAAATCAAGAACACCACACTCTTCATTCATTATGATATTTGAGCACGCATATGATACACACACAGTACACTGCATGCACTAATGTCCCCCCCTCTCTGTAAAAACCTCTGTTTATTTTGTGGCACCTTTTTTTTCTCCTTTTTCTCTCTCTCTCTAGAGTCTCTCCCACTCTCTCTCTTTCTCTCTCTCCCCATCAAAAGACTAAACTAAGCCTTCTCAAAAGGCCTCAGCTTTTATTTCTTTGTCTGCCATTTTAATAATTCCTCTTTAAATAAATAATTCCACATCATATCCCTCTGTCATCTTTTCCCTGTATGTTTTATCATGTCCCTCACACACACACACACACACACACACACACTGAAGTACAGCCAAGAAAAAGGAAATCAAATTCGTCCCTTCATAAACCCATTTGCAGTCCTTTTTCAAGATCACTTTTTTTTTTTCTTTTTGCAGTGCCAACCAACACCGCCATTAAATGGACTCTGAAATATCAGTTCAAAGCTCTCCCCATTTTCTTGATTAAACAGAAAAACCCCTTCTCGTACCTCGCTTGCCTTCAAATACCCAAACAAACACCCATAAAAATCCAATCTTGCAGAAAAAAACACAAAACCCATCTTCATCCCTGCGAAGAAACCCCATTAAAAGGTCCAATCTTGCAGGGAAAAAAGAAAAACACACAAAATCAAAACCAGAAAGATGATAACGGGCACGGACTTTTACCACGTGATGACCGCCGTGGTCCCCCTGTACGTGGCGATGATCCTCGCCTACGGCTCCGTCAAGTGGTGGCGGATCTTCACCCCCGACCAGTGCTCCGGCATCAACCGCTTCGTGGCCCTCTTCGCCGTCCCCCTCCTCTCCTTCCACTTCATATCCACCAACGATCCCTACACCATGAATCTCCGCTTCATCGCCGCCGACACCCTCCAGAAGC